ATGAAGAAATGTATATTCATTTCCTTGGCAGCTTTTGGGAAATGTGTTACCAGACCTCTGGTAGACTAGGGAACCAACTACTCCCACTTCAAAGAGGAACAGAGTGAGCACTTTAGGCTAGCTCAAGTGAGTTGTCTTGCTTGGCAAAAATCACTGACTTCCATGACTGGAGTATTTTGAAGTTTATGCAAATGGACTCTGAACCCCTGGTTATGTTGGATGTGTCTCCTGACCCACCTCATCTATAAAAGCTTCCATTGGCCTAAGGGAAAAGTGACTCATCCTCCCTACCCTCCAAATCTTGATCCCCAGGCTTCCACTTTTTCCAGTTAGAACTACAGAGAGGGAACAAAATCGGGTAGAATGCCTCTATTGATCTTCTTGTTCCTTGTGCTTCTAGAACACCTAGCTGAGTGCAAGTCTGATTTTAAAAGTTAGAAGAGGTTACAGAGACAGAATGGAAGCTCAGTTACCTTCTTCCTTGGTCCTGTTTTCAGTTCATTAGGATCATAGATTTTGAGCAAGGAAGGCTCCCAACAAGTCACTAAGCCCAACTCCTCATATTACAGATGAGAAACCTAAGGCCACTGATGTGAGTAGTCCTTAGACCACACAGGGAGTAAATGACACTCTTGAGATTTGAACCCAGGTCCTCTGACCACAAAGTCGGTGCTCCAGTATACTACGATGCCTCCCAAAGTGTGTCTTTAAGTCAAGGAATTGGGGAAAATTTCCCTCCTTTCCTAGGCCCTCTGGCCCCCTTCCACATCACACTCCCTTTTCATTCCAGACCACTCTTCCTTACCAGAGGCTGCAGAAGGATGTAAGCTTGGAAACCTGGACTCCAGTCATGCTAAAAGGAAGGAAACATGGTTAGCTAACATGAACAGCACAGACTGGGTGTCACTCACTGTTGCCAGCCAAGCCTGTTGAAGGATATATGTTTGGAAACTTTTGCCAGAAAGGAACCCAGTGAAAATGAGCTATTAAACTTGGATATCCTGAAGAAACAATATTTACAGAGGGAACTCCTTAAGGGAACATTCTCCAATGGAATCACCCTGGTGGAGGAGCTCATGTCTGGGCACTGAATCATGTGCTTAGCAGGCCCCAAATCTCTCTTTTCCCTTTCCCTGAGATGTTCACATTGCTCTGAAAGGTATTGGAAATTACTTAGTCAACTTCTGTCCACTCTGGGACAACCGGGAAATAAGTCATCATCCCTAGGATAGCAGGAGCAACTCTTTTTCTAAAATAGCTTAGAACTGTGTAAGATAATAAACTCTAGGCCCCCTATGAAATCTTTCCACAAGGATCTATTCCCCTGTTGAATTCCCATTGGTCTTAAAATGCACCCTAACAACCTAAAACAATTCTATATCAGATTGTAAACTCCTTGTGGGCAGGGATTGGCTTTTGCCTTTCTTTGTGTCCCTATTGCTTGGCACAGTGCCTGGTACATAGTAGGTGCTTAAAAAATACTTGATTTGATTATCTTATTTAGTTTGCAGGCAACTTTCTATGTGTTTATGGTGTTGATCACAGGAATGGAACAATCCAGGTAGCTGTTCTAGTCTTTCAGTTGTGTCCTACTCTTCATGACCCAATTTGGGGTTTCCTTAGCAGAGATACTGGAGTGGTTTGCCATTTCCTTCTCCAGCTCATTTTACAGATGAAGAAACTGAGGCAAACAGGGTTAAGTGACTTGTCCAGGGTCACACAGCTAGTGTGAGGGCCAGATCTGAACTTAGGGAGAGGAGTCTTTCTGACTCCAGGCCTGCCTCTTTATCCACCATGCCACCTAGCTACCCAGGTAGCTCTTCATACAGTAATAATAATGACTGACATTTTAAAGTTTGTAAAATACATATATTATCTCATTTGACTCCCACAACAACTTTGTGAGATAGATGTTGTAGGTATTATTATCTCCATTTTACAGATAAGGCAACTGGGGCTTACGGGAATTAAATGGCTCTTACAGTCACATAGCTGTTAAATGTCAGAAGCAGGATTTGAATTTAGGTCTTTCTGACTCTAAATATAATGCTTGGTTAAATAGCAGATAACTGCCTGCTCTTTGAAAATAGCCTGGAGGGAAAGGGGTCAATCAGTCCCATTTTCAAAATCGCCTTATTAGCCTAACTATGGCCATTTAATTTAGCTGGAGGCAGTGTGTGGTACAGTGGAAAGAGCGCTGGATTTAGAGTCAGAAGGCCTGAATTTGAATTCTGGGTTCAGATGTTGCCTAGAAGTGCCATTCAATTCATCTGAGCCAGTTTCTTCATTTGCAAAATGGAGGTAATGGTACCAGAGAAGCCTCCCACACAAGATTGACCCAGGGCTCAAATAAAGTAACGTAAAGAAGAACTGTATAAATATAAATTATTATTATTATTATTAGAGTACCCATTCCTTCACAGCCTGCCCTCATTAAATATTATCAATTTCTTTGCTATTTTTGCTAATTTGGCAGGCAGGAGAGTGTATCTCTCTCATTTTACATATAAGGAAACTGAAGCCCAAAGGGGCAAGATGATTAAGCAATGGTTACACAGTTACTAATTAGGTAACAGAGATGGAACTGGAACCCAGGTCTTCAGATTCAAATCCTTTGCTCTGGTCATTGTCCCATACTTCATGGGCACAGACTGTACCTTTTACCCCCGCTAGCCATATGGTCAATACTTGCTCTTCGTCACAAAGTGGCCAAGTACATATTTATCCATCCCCATTACAGGCTGCACAATTTAAAGGCTACACCCTGCCGATGATTGATCACTAGTTTCATCTCACATATGACATGTTAGTCTAACAATGTCAAGTAGGTTTTTTGTTCCCCCTGCCCTAATAGCACATGCCAAGTTGACGAAGCAGTGGAAAGAATGTTGGATCTGGGCTCAAAGGAGTTCAAATCCCAGATTTGCCATTTGCTAGCTGTGTGACTCAGGACAAGTTACTTAACCTCTTTGTGGCCTCACTTTCTTCATCAGTAAAATGTGGGCATTGTGCTAGGTAACCTCCAAGGTCCCTTCCAGCTCCAAATCTAGGATAATGCTCTAAGGAGAAAATGGACTCATGACTGTCTACTCATCTCCTTTCAATGAACTTTTCAACTTCCAGTCACTATAGAAACTCAGGTAAGGAGCCCAAGTCCTAGTAGCCAAGATTTCTTAGGGGATAAAGGAATTTCAAATCCTTTACCTTTTATAAATCTTCCTTCTTGTTGTGCAGTTTTTAGTTGTGTTCCATCTTCATGACCCTATTTGGGTTTTTTTTGGCAAAGATACTGGAGACTCCAGGCCTGGCACTCTATCCACTGCACCTCCTAGCTGCCTCCTTTCCCTTTTAAAAATCCTCCTTAGTGCTGATCAAAGTCAGGGGGGTGCTGGTAAATGTTTAATAGTTAGCTCTCTGGAAAACACACACATAAAACTTTTTTTTTTAAGTTTTAAGTTTAATCTTAACCCACATTTTAAAGTTTAATCTGCCTCATTCATATTTTCTCCATCACTTTGTTAAGTCTAGACAATCAATAAAACAATAAATCAAACCCTGATTTGGAGCATTTGTCAATTTCCCAGGTGTATATACTCACATCAAAAATTTAACAATCAGCTCCCAATATGAGCTGGCTCTAGCACATCCCTGACAAAGGATAGGGAAAACTTCAGATTATAGATCTGTCATTGTCACACAGCCTCTGCCACTTTGTCTTGTCATCGAGGCAGTGAGATAGAGTAATGCCCAAAAAAGAGGTCTATCAAAAAAAAAAGTTAAGGGCCTACTCTAATCAAGCCCACTGCAGGCAGCTGCTCTTGTTCCATGTTTTGTTAAGGAAAATCAGTAAAACTGGAGGTAGGAAAGACTAGGGTTTGATTTAAATGCAGGTCTTTACATGTAAAACTCCTAGGAACCTCCTTTCCATGGTTTCCTGGGTATATTCATTCAGCAAACATGTATTGAACTCCTACTGTGTGCCAAAAAGGATGCAGTACCCATGGCACACAAAGTCATCCAGTACCCAATACCTGTCCTTGGGGCAAGTCTATCAGTACAAACCAAAGCATCGTTTTTAAGCAGAGAACTCCCAAGCAACTGCTTCATGTTCCCACTAATTCATTTCACTCTTGCCTGTATCAGAGCCAGGTATCTGTACGCACTCTGGTTTAGCCAAGCTACATGATGGGTAGTTTCCTTGTGTTCCAGGTACAGAGACTCATACTGTTTTGCAGATGCCCCCTTCTGCTTAGAGAAAAAATAACTATTCAGATTTTTAAAAAAATTTTTGGATCAAAATCTCTTCTTCTGCCTCCATCCCCCATCCCACACCTACAGAAAACTAGCTACGGCAAGATAAAATACTTTCTGATCTGAGTAGAACAAGTCCAGGCCATAATTCTTTTCTGTTCTCTATATCCCATGTATATCTGGGTCATGGAGTCCAACAAGGGTTAAGGTAATTCCTTTCATGTTGTTTCTAGGTTAGAGGGGAATCTTGGAGCATAGAATACAGAATGTTAGCTCTGGAAGAGAATTTGGAACATAGAACACAGAATGTCAGCACTGGAAGGGACCTTAGAACATAGAATGTTAGAGCTGGAAGGAATCTTGGAACACAGAAATCAAAATGTCAGCACTGAAAGGCCATTTCTTTCAACCCTTTCATTACACAAAGTTTGGGGGTGGAGGAGGAGGAAAGGAGAGGAGACCAAGGGAAAGTTAACACCGTGAAGCTCAGGATCTTCTTGCTAAACAGGGTACATAGATTTCTAGATTAGTGTACAACCAATTGTTAATTCCCTAAGACAGCTTTTTTTTTTTTTGGAGTGGGAAGAAAAAGAGATTGTATTTCTATGTTTTTATTATTTTGGGTCTCATCCTCCAGGGTTTTGGGATATGAATGAGTCTAATTTTCCGTGGCTGACAGTCTCTGCTGCTTGGCCGTATCTGTAGCAGCTAGGTGTTTATTTACTTTTCTTGTTTTATTTTTATTTCAGTTCAACTGCAACTAAGCGCGGAAAGCGTGGGTGAGGTGTATATAAAGAGCACTGAGTCTGGCCAGTATTTGGCTATGGACACCGATGGACTTTTATACGGCTCAGTAAGTATGAGGTTTACGTGGTACCAGACACAGGGAAGTTTTGAGGTTTCCAGAAATCTTGTAGTATTGAGTAATGTAACACAGAAGCAACAATTAGTCTCTGTTTGTTATTTTTCCAATTGGATTCCCACCCCCTACCCTGCTTTATTTTAGGTTAAAAAAAATTAAAGAGCTTGCAGAACTGTCTCAAAACACTGCACTATATTATCATGCACATCTGGAAGAGGAAACATTGATGGAAGCTTTTGTTGGGGTTAACCAGTCACCCTCTTGTGGGGCATGATTGGACTATACAAGCATTTTGGAGGGTTTCATCCTGTCTGTAAGATTGCCATTTCCCTATGCAATGTGCCTTTTAAGCTTTTCTACATGCGTAAATTTCAAGATTCAAGATGAATAGCCATTTTGCTATCAGTCTAAAGCCACACATGGAAAATTGTTATTGATACATTCTATTTTTACATCACCATAATTTCTGAATATACCTCTCCTCTTTCCCTTAAAAAAGCAAGTCATGCCCTGTACTAAAAAAGAAAAAAGTGGAGGCACAGTGGTATGGAAGAAAACATTTATTATAATAATAATAATAGCTAACATTTGTGTAGTATTTTAAGGTTTACTAGGTACTTCATATATATCATCTCATTTGATACAATAAACTTTGAGTCAGGCATTATTATTATTCCCATTTTACAGATGAGGAAACTGAGTCTGAGAAAGGTTAATTGTCTTGTCCATAGTCATATTGTTAACATGCATTGGAGGCAGAATTTGCACCTAGGTTTTCCTAACTCCTCATTCAGAGCTCAATTACATCACCTAAAGCTAACTGAGAGATCAACAGAGTCTGACAATGTATATGATATTCTATAACCACAGTCTTCCTTTCCCCTACATGAAAAGGAGAGAGGGGTCTTTTCTGGGTCCTTCTCCAGGGCCAAGTTTCATAATCATTATAATAATACTATTTAGTTTGGGGATTTTTGTTCTTTCCATTTACATTGTTGCAGTCATTGTATAGCAATAGTCTTCCTGTTTCTGCTTGCTGCATTCATTCTCTGTCAGGCAGGTAGGTAATATAGTGGAGAGCGCACCTTGCCTGGAGTCAGGATAAACCTGAGTTCAAATCCACCTTCAGACTCTAACTGGCTCTGTTACTCTGGGAAAGTCATGTAACCTTAATTTGCCTCAGTTTGTAAAATGAGGATAATAATAGCACCTACTTCTCATGGTTGTTGTGAGGATCAAATGAAATAATAATTATAAAGTGCTTAGCACAATGCCTGGCACATAGTAAGTGCTATAAAAATGTTAGCTTTCATTATTATTCCATATTTTTCAATGTGTATTCTTTAAATTCATTGTTTTGTATGGCACATAGTTCATTACCTTCAAGTACTGCAATTTGTTTAGCCATTCTCCTATCAACCTTGTTCCCAGTTCTTTGCTGTTATGCCAAAAACAAAACAAAACAAAACAAAAAAACCCAAAAAGTCCTGTTAAGACTATTTTGGTCTGTGTGAGACCTTTCTTCCTGACTTTGACCTCCTTGGGTGTATTTTCACAGGAGTGGGATCTCTGGATCAAAGGGTATAGACATTTTAGTCACTTCTTAGGCATAATTCCAAATTGCTTTCTAAAATAAGAATATTACAAAGAGTGCATTAGTGTGCCTGTCTTTCCACAGCACTCCGCCCCACCCCAACACTGTCTCCATCTCTTGTCATTTTTGTCAATTTTCTGGATACAACTTCAGAATTGTTTTAATTTACATTTCTCTTATTATTGGTGATTTGAATCAATCTTTCAGATAGCTATTAATAGTTTATGACTTTTTTTCATATCCTTTGACTGTATTCATGGGAGAATGATGCCTGGTGTTCTATATCTGTGTTAATTACCTCTATATTTTGGTTATCAGAGCCTTACTGGAGATATATGATGTGTGTAAAATCCCATTCAATAATATCTCTTATTATTCTAGATATGGTAGTCTCTTTTAAATGTTTTATCAATACATTTTGTTTTTTTTAATTAAATATTTATTTTAGCATCACATACATTTTTCCCTGTATCTACTCTCGCTTCTCTCCCATTTCTTTCATTTCACAGTAAAACAAAATAATACAATGTCAGAGATGGAAGGCTACCTAGTCCAACCCATATCTAAGTAAGAAGCCACTCTACAACATACTTCAAAAGTGCTCATCTAGCCTTTGATTGAAAATCTCTAATGAGAGAGAATACCTTTTGAGAGAACCCATTCCACTATTGGGTAGCTCTCATGATTAGAAAATGTTGTCCATTGTTTCTAACTCTACCTCTCAAGGCCAAGCAAAACAAGTCTAATTCTGGAAATATACTAAAGAACAGCTGTCTGCCCTGTACCCAAATCTTCTCACTAGGTTAAAACTTCCTAGTTCTTTCAACTAGTCTTCATAGGGAATGATATCAAGGTCTTTCGCTATCCTGAATGCCTTCTTTTGGATATTTTTCTGGCTTAATATCCTTCTGAAAAAATTGATTGCCAAAACTGAACATGATATTCCAGATATTGTCTAACTGGAACAGAATACATTTAGAGTATGACCTCCTTAGTCTTGGACACCATTTCTAACTTTAAAAAGCCTAAGCTTGCATTAAGCAGTTAGGTGGCACAGCAAATAGAGCCCTGAGCTGGGAAACAGGAAGATTCATCTTCCTGAGTTCAAATCCAGCCTCAGATACTTACTAGCTGTGTGACCCTGTGCAAGTTACTTAACCCTGTTTGCCTTAGTTTTCTCATCTATAAAATGAGCTGGAGAAGGAAATAGCAAACCACTGTGGTATCTTTGCCAAGAAAGCCCCAAATGGGAAGGATAAAATATGACTAAAATAATTAAATAACAACAAAGATTGCATTGACTTTCTTGATCACCATATCACATTGTTGTCTTATATTGAAGCTTCCATCCACCAAAACCCCCAGATCTTTTTTAGACAAAGTGCTGTTTGCCTATTCTTCTTCCGTATTATACCTGCAAAATTGGTTTTTTGAACATAAGTATAAGACTTTACATTTATTCCTATTAAATTTTATCTGATTTAATGCTCTAAGCCAGGGGTCAGCAAAATATGACCCATGGATCAAATCTGACCTGAGCCTGTTTTTGTATGACTGGAGAGCTAAAATGGTGTTAAATAAAAATAAAGTTTTATTTTATTTTAAAATATAAAAAAAATAGCTTTCAGGTTACATAAAAATAGGCAGCAAGCTGGATTTGGTCCATGGGACACAGTTTGCTAATCTCTTCTCTAAACTATCAAGATCCTTTTTGAAACTGACTCTTTCATCCAGTGTGTTAACTATCTCTTTTTATTTGGATGTGGCATAGGCTTATCAAGCTCAACATATTCAAAAGCAGATTCATCATCTTTCTCCATAAACCTACTCTTCCTTCCTATTTCCTATTTCTGTTATGGGCAACATCGTTCTTCCAGTGACACAATTTTGAACATTCTTAACTCATCACTCTTACTCTTTTCTCCCTGTTCAATCAACTGGTAAGTCTTATTAATTTTACTTTTTCAATATCATTCCTATCTAAATTCCTGCCTGCTCCCTACCCCAAATTCATACTATAAGCATACAAATAGGTCCTAACCACAACTTGCCTGGATATTTATAGTAGTCTCCTAATTGGTGTCCTTTTATGTGGTCTCTTCCATCTATATTCTAGCTATTAAACTCATATTCCTTAAGCACAGATCTGACCATGTCACTCCCATCCTTGACCAATGTACTTCAATGGTTCCCTTCTCATGCTTACTTCTCCTCCAAATAATTTCCTGACTCTTCGAACTTTTCTGCTTCTATCCCAAATGCCTTCTCATTCCAGAGATGCCTCCACCCCATAGCCCCTTGTTGATTTGTGAGTTCTTGTATGGAACTTCTGTTTGAGGAAATGCTGAGGCTATCCATGCTCATTTCTCTCCCGGCTCCACTCTTGACTCTCCAGACTTTCATACTTTGTTCCCCTCCCTCCTCCACTTTTCAGATTCCTTTTGTGTGTGGTCTTCCCCCACTAGAAAGTAAGCTCCTTGAGGGTAAGTACTAGCTTTCTTTTTGTTAGTCTTTGTATTCCCAGCATTAAGTACCTGGCCTGGCACATAGTAAGCACTTAAAAAATGCCTCTATCTATCTATCTATCTATCTATCTATCTATCTATCTATCTATCTATCTATCTATCTATCTATC